CTCGCCGTGTAGTCGTTATGGTCAGCCTGTCGCCTGTCAGGCCGCCATGCGTGTAACACGCCGAAACCCTTGGCTGAACGAAGAAGCCCAGTGCAGTGCATAACAAGCCTGAGGCTCGGAGAGTCATAAGTGGTCGAAAACATCTACGACGTGCCCTTTAACTTCTGCTCTACTTCTGGCGCTGATAATTCACCCGTACGATCCGCCTGTTGCTCGGTTGGAAGACATGGGTATCGCCGAAGACAGCGTATACCGACGCTTCATGTAGAGATATCCAAGTATCATCGACTGCCTCGAGGGGCTGCAGGCCATTCCCCATCGCTACACAGGGTGTGAACTATAAGTATATGAAACTATATGATCTACATAGGATCAAAGTCCTCACCGTTCGAGCTCGTTGTCGAGCATGAGAGGCTCTCGAGCAGAATAGAACTTGGCCCATCCGGCGCCGCGGGAGTTGTGCCTCAGCAACTCGAGGGCGAGAAGCATGGGACATGCCGCGTGGAAGATGGCCATGATCGCGGTGCCGACTTTCCGGAAGTGCGCAGTGCGCCGGGTCCATGCTTCGTAAGTGTCGCAAGCCGAACCGGTCGTCTCAGGAAAGTCAAGGTTCAGGCGGACTCTTTGCAGCCATCTCATCGTGGCGAGCTGCTTTGCGATGTGCTCCTGTCAACCAGTGATCAGTGAGCGTCGAGCATAAGACGTGAAGAAGCGAAGCCTCGACTAACGTATGGCACTGCCATGTCCTCTCCTGGTCTATAGCGATGCAGCTCGATCCACCACAGCTTGGGATAAGCAGATGTGATGTGACGGAGCAGATCGTCCTCGGCGTCGTCCGCTTGGTACACCAATTCGATTTTCTCGAGCTGCGTAAATGCGTTCATGCGCCTCAAGATAGAGAGACATTCAGACGATGAGAGAATGGCGGACGTCACTTCGCCGTTCATCACATCTGGGAAGTGGAGCGAGTAATAGTGGCGGGGCGAGTCTCGTAGGGAGAGGTGCGTGAGGTTCGGGGCCTGTATTGAGCATATCGCATCGTCTGGATCCGGATAAGAGAGGATCAAGGACTTGAGCCGAGGGTGGCGAACTTGAGAGGAGAGAGGTCCAAGAACAGGCACGCGCTCCTGTTCGGCCAGTGGGTAAGCGAGGATGCTAAGGTGATGGAGCGAAGGGAAGCGGTCGGAGAGGTCGGAGAGCATGTTAGGAAGAGTGTAGAGCTTGTCTCGTGAGAGGTAGCTCCTGGAGAGGCGCAATTCGCGTAGGGTTGACCACTGAAGACCTGCCATCTGCTCGAGAGGAGCCGTCTCTAGAGGCAAGTCTAAGAACTGCGCCCGTGGCGCCATTGGTGGGACGAGGAGCTGCAGCGACTGTTCTTCCAGTCTGTGGAGTTTGAAATTACCGGGCCATGAGCTCTGACGCCAGGCATATGGGACACAAGAGAAATTGGTGAGGGTGCTGGGCGAGGTCGTCAACTCTACATCACCGTACATGCACAAGAACGGTGGCCGGCAATTCAAAAACGAGACCGAGGAGATGTTCGGGTGTGTGATGCATGTCTCGACGGCGGTCCATAAAATAGGACGGCCTGTAGTGTCGCGCGCAGATACGGCGTCGAATCTGATGGACCTCAGGGAAGGGAAGAACGCGAGATGCTCTCCGACATCATCGCTCCCCAACGCATCTGAATGGTACGTAAGCTGTCTAGAGCGGAATGAGTCCTAATGAGTCATGATCATCGAGTAGCCGTATCTCAGCGCTAATCATGCTACTCACCGAACCAGGGGACGAATAGCGGGTGGTGGTGCTTCTCGACTTGTCCCTTCGGCGAGATGAGGAGCGCGGACACTGGCAAACAGCAGTGGAAGACAAGCAGATCGAGTAGGAGTTGATGCTTGGGAGTACACCACCAACGCGCCGGGGTGGTTAGACACTGCAAGGGCGACGAGGTACAATATATCCGCCCCGAGCCCATCCAAGCTGTAGGGCTGCGATGAGTACGCGATGTTCCTTCTCTCGCTGAACGACTGAATAGGTATACCTCTGGATGGCCATAGGTCTGCTGGTTTCCGAGATAGAGATATTGTCGAAGGAACTCGGGCTGTTCACGATCGGGCTCACTGGGTCATCGGGGTCAGAAAGGAAGGGACTCGCGGGCGCCCTGCTGGTAAGCGTCTCGTATAGACGCTGGAAGTTCCCAGCAGGTTGGCAAGCTACCACTGGCACATTGTGCGCGGCCAACAGAATACGTATGTCACATATGAATGAGCATAAAATGCTACATACAAGGGTGCTTCACAACCCGCAGTAGCATGAACAGAACGTTTCTTGTGCGCCGTCTTAAACAGTAACATCAGTGATTGACTGCACGTAGTCATACAGCTGTCCAAGCCATATCACAATCCCAACGAGACCATTCGACTGCACTCCCGGCTCATCAGCAAGCAGATTATCTTCCTCGCAACGCATGAGAGCTTACCTCGAATTTGGCTCGGTGATCCTTGAGGTTTGCTTCGTCCCATGTCGCCAGCTGCCAGATGGTATGGAGTAGCGTTCCCCCGCAGGAGAGAATAGCGAACCCGAGACCCTGGTTCAAGAGATACCCGGCGTAAACCAGGCTCGCTAGAAGGACTGCGACAAGGACTGCGAGGATCTCCCGTACATATTCTCCGAAGAGGAGGGCGCACGACTTGATGCCCGCCCGTCGGTCGTCCTCGCGGTCCTGGCAGGCATATATGGTATCGTACACGATCGTCCAACTGCAAGTAATCATAACGTTCGCATCAGCTCGGAAGCGCTCTCGTATTGATGATTGTACGCACCAGACGCCTCCGACGAACAGTACCCAAACGGGTAGCGAGGGCAAACGGCCTGTTATAGCTGACCACGCGACTGGTATGCCCCAGTTGAAGGCGAGGCCTGCGACGCATTAAGTATCAGCTCAGGATGAGTGACTGCACAGCGCGGTGCACTGACCAAGCCACGCTTGCGGCCACCAGGTCCATCGCTTCATGAGAGGGTAGAGTGCGTGCAGGGGAAAGATGCCGAGGAGGGTCATGTAGCGGCTGCGTCGTTCATGAGCGGCGGACATGCACGTATATGTCTTTATCTTTATCGCGCTCACCTTGGCGGATGGGCATAAGAGATCATGTAGAGTACAGGCGCGAGGAAGGCGAGACAGAGAATCCATGCTCCGACCATGGACACCTTGCCGGCCGGGAGTGGTCGGTCCTTAGTTCGTTCTGACTGGAATCAGTGCTGGAATCTCGCGGGCAGCATGTAGCAGCTCACCTACTTGCCGATCGAAGTCGACGTCACATATGTCGTTCAAGACGCACGCAGCGCTGTGTAGTAGCATCGCGCCTACTGAGAATGCCGCCAGCTTCTCCGCATACTCGCGGAGAGGGAGAGAAACCTCGCGCGCAGCGATAGTCAGACCCCATGCTGTTGGATTAACATAGTCAGATGCAGCTCTCGTTGAGGCCGAACGTTCCACGTACCACAGGGCCAGACCATGAGAGTGTTGCCCATGAGAGGTTTGTGCAGACGAGTAAGCTCGAGGTAGCCTCTTGCGGTAGCCGTCATGTTCGTCTACCTGGCCTGAAAGTGAGGACGCTAGTGCTGAGAGTACTGGAGAGTCCGTAGAACGACCGCCTTATATCCGTGCGGTATTCTGTGTGGACGTCTGTAGGCTCTTCGGCACGGTCAACGGGGCCGCATTCGGATCCGATGTGCGAGGAAGAGCTTACCAGTAACCGCTTGTGCGTGGGTGCTTGCTCACCAGAAGCAGTCTAGACATGCCAGGGGACGGCCGCGGAGGATGGGCGGTGATACGATCCTCCCGCTCATATACCGACATGCTCCTAATTCTGCCGTTTGACTTGGCGGCATGAGCAGCGATGAACCGCGCGCGAAATGGGCGGGACCTAACGGTGGTCAAGTTACGGTGAGACGAACCGGGTTTCGCAGAAGGTCAATACCGGAGGGAACCTCCGCCGACCGCTGAGGAGGTCGCAAACAGCTTGGAGTAGGTACGGTAGGTGGTGGTGGGCGTAACGATCCGAACGCCACAACGGCATAATACGCGTCTGCAAGGTGTGCGCAGCGGGAACCCAGGAGGACTGAAACAGTCCAGTCAACCTCTTTATCCGAGTGATGTCGGAACAATCTCTCACCTACGACTGATGTTTTCACTTTCGACCGCGCCGGAACACCTGCACAGTGGGAGAAGAGGTGAATCGAGGTTAAATCATAGATTGAAAATTTGTATGTACGGGAGTCGTCACCGACGGTCCACCTGTTGTCGCGCACCTGCCCTCATAACTTCTGACAGGCCCGCGCGTTAGTGAGCTCATCAGGGAGAGAGCCACTATCGACCCAATGGGCGCAAAGACACATGACCAACGAGCGCAACTGGTGGGCCGACCGCCGTCATTGGCAGCGCTGAAGGCTACGCTCCTGTGAGGTCTTAGGCTGTGGCATGTGCTGCTACGCCCATAACGTCCGTGCCGTTTGTTGTCTTTCGTCGACCTTGTGGGGTAAGTGCTACCTGTGGATGGAGGTTTGATCTCGGTGATGTGTCTAAGACAGCATTTCGCCACGCTAACCTGCGCCGTAATCAGAAGCTCCTAGAGGTATATCTGCGAATCGTGTGAGCACTCCGATGGAACAGGCTGGGAGGTAATGCATGAGTAACGCACCTCCACGTGTATGACGGAACACCACGGTCCACAATCAACAGCGTGCTTGCCAGGTGATCATCACAAATGAGGGGATGTAAAAAAATATGCCAGCGACATACTTAGAATGTGGGAATACCTGCATAGTCACAGAGTACGCCGAGGAGCCTGCATGCAGCGGAAGGGTGGAGCTTGTCGATATGCTTTAAACAGTGACGGCTTGATGGGCACCAAGGAGCCCGCAGGAGGCTCATACAACTGGTCGAATCGTAACCTGCCTAGCATGCTAGAGCAAGCATGAGGTAGCAAGACGGGATAAGTCTGGGATACTAAAACCGAAGGTAAGAGTCTTTAAAGACTCTTAGTAAGAGAGTCAAATCGAGCTTCGACACGTGACCGCGTGTCCACGTACTGCAACGCGGGTCGCGACGCTGTGCCGCGGTGTCTTGAGTCTGAGCCTGTAAGTATCACTTGCCGTTTCCCCTGGTATCCCAAAGTTGCCCAGTACTAGTGAGTACTATCTATCGTTCCGAGAAGTTGTCTGTGATTGCCACAATAACAACGAATATACACGTGCAATATTAGAACTTCCAGCTTGATCTTCTCTAGAACACCTCCTGCGCACCCTCACATTAATGTCCTCCATCCATCCTCTGACTCCGCAGCTCAGGGTATTACGCGAGCCACAAAAGGAATCCTATACACAAGTCCGTCCGACACAGCACCACAACCACCCACGACACAACCGCTCACATGATCACGCAATTTGAGTCGTCTTCAACCTTCTGCGTAGCGATACCCATCTCCGCAAACGTCTTCGGGCCATTCGGGTTCGGCCTCGACTGTGGCCTCTGCTGCTGCTGCTGCTGTGGCCGCGCCGGGCTCTCCTCCCGACGCGGCTGCGACCCAGGTCCCCCAGGCCTCCGCATCGGGGGCGTACCCGCCGGTCGAGGAGACGACGCAGGACCAGGCCCAGTACCATATCGTTGTTGCGCATGCGGCGCCTGCTGAGGATACGGGCTGCTGTGCTGCTGGCCAGGATGCGGCCGTGGGCTGGCACCATGCGCAGGAGGTGTCTGCGGCATCCCCGGGGCCCCGGGCGGACCCGACGGCGGTCGCCGCGAGCCGTTCTGGTTCTGGTACTCGTCCACGCGCGGGAGGGGCGCGGGCATGCCGGGCGGGGAGTTCGTCATCGACGCACCCTGTCTTCCCCAGTCTCCGCCCGCGCCTTGTGCCGCTGCTGCTGCTGCTCCAGCGGGGCCGCCCGGGCCAGTGCGCATAGAGTTCTTGCGGATGTTGTTCACGATCTGAGTCCGCTGCGCTGAAGGGACCGCTGTTGATGCTGTTGCTGCCGCACCGCCCACGGCCTCGGAGCGCTGCTTCGCCTGGGTCCGCTTGCGGACGAGCTTCGAGTCTGTGAGATTCTCGTGCTGTTCGCGCGACAGGGCCTGGGGCGTGGGCTGTGAGAGGGCTTGGAGCCGCTCAGCTGCATCTGCATTGCCGTTCTGCGCCGCCTGAGCATCGCAAAAGTGCAACAGTCAGCGTGCGTTCAACATTTGACGTACACCGGGACATGGGCGGTGACGGTGAAGAGTTAGGACACGCACCCGCTGGTACCACTTGCGCGCTATATCGATGTTGCGAGGGCCGCCGACGCCGACCTCGGAATAGTATCCCAGCGCAAATTCGGCACTGGCGAGGCCCTTCCGCGCAGCCTTCTCCGCGAAGGTCCATGCAAGGTTCTCGTCCTTGTCGAATGCGCCTTCCGCGCCGCACAGGAACCACTTGCTCAGCGCCATGTCCGCCTCGGTCTCGCCCTGCTGCGATGCGAGCGAATAGTACTGCACGGAGAGGAGCGCATCGAACGGGAAAGGCGGTGTCGCAAATTCGTACGCATGACCGAGCTTGTACTGCGCGGGCGCAAAGTTGAGGTACGCCGCGCGCTCGAGGTGCCGCCGTGCCTCGTCGGCCTGGGTGACGCCCGGGGGAAGGAAGGGCTGGAAGAGCTGCGCTGGAATCGAGACGTGCGAGAACTCGTTGAGCAACAGGAGAGCATACACATAAGCGGGCTGCGGGACATCGATCGTCGCGAGCGTCGCAGCGCGATTGAGCAGCGGCAGGGCAGCTTGCGGGTCGGCCGGAAAGCCGAGTTGGCCCATGAGGTTCGCCATCCCGAGCCGCTATAGATAGATGAGACCGCGAGGCCGCGCTAGAAGTAAGAAAAACGCACGTAGAAGCAGCTCTCGACGCCGTGCTTCGTGCCCCGCTCAAAGCACTCCTTCGCGTGCTGTAGGTCTCCGAAGTTCTCATACTCCCGCCCGAGCTTGAACCAGGCAGCGTGGTAGCCGGACTTGGCAGCGCGCTCGAAGTCGCGGAACGCAGTGCGGGGGTCGTGCGGGATGAACTGGGGGTAGATGCCAGTGGACGCGCACATGGCGCGCATGTGGATCGCCTCGGCGACATGCAGAGGGATGGGCCCGGGGGGCGCGGAGGAGATGCGGATGATGATGGGGAGAGCGACGTTGACGAGCTTCTGCAGCTCGGGATCGTCGATCTGGGCAGGGCCCACAGCGGGATCGGTGGACGTCGGGCTGGTGCGCGACTGCTGCTGCTGCTGCGCACGATCGACCAGTGAGAGCACCTCTCTGCACCAGACGACTTGGCGTGCGGGGTCGGCATTCGGAGCTTGGATCG